TCAAAAGTCAGATGTAAGTCTGCAAAAGCAGGCACGCATGCAAAGTGGTTATTTAATAACTGAAACTGAATGCAAGTATTTAGTTACAAATCCACAAATTACAGGCTCTTCTAAAAACACAAGTGTGTCCTACCACATCATATTTCCTACTGAGTAATTAGGTTTCTTTGCATCAATAATTTGTACATTAATGACTCTAAGCAACTGTTGATTCATACTGTAATATACCATAACAAATCCAGAGTGGTTCACTTCTCTTGTATAAAAAGTTATAGAAACCATAGAATTACAGAATCATAGAATCATAGTATAGCTTGGGTAGGAAGGGACGTCAAAGATCATCTAGTTTCACCCTCCCCCTTGGAATAATTGCATCACATTATGTGTCAGAGAAGTCAAACAATCCTGACTATACAAAATGTTACAGACCAAAATAAATAAGTTTTTTATTATGCAGCATTTTTCAGTATCCTATTCATGACAAATGAAAATATGTCTGAATGTGGTATGAGCACCCCTTGTTCATTCAGTTGTACAGATCTCAGTCTGCATGGGAGGACATGAGGATGTTCAGGTCTTCACCAGATCATACAAAGAGTTCACTACAATTTCAGCAACAGTGAAAGGTACAGTAGACATCACAACCCTAAGGAAATAAAAAGACTTTAATCTGTGGATCCCAACTATTGATTTGCAATATCATTCTAAAATTGTCATTTATTTGCCCAAATGGTAAATAAGGAATATTTATGTTTTCAGGAGTAACTTGAAGAACTATATATTTTACAGTGTGTATAGCCTGCACATGTGTATAATCATATACATCATCTAGAGGTCTGGAACTCAAAAAACATTATGATTAGCTGGGAGCTAAATGTTTTCTGCTTTTAATATTGATGTTGCCTAATATATATATATATATATAGGGACTGTTCTTTTGGTTAAATATGGTTCTTGTGTCTGCCCTACAGATGGCTGTTAAAAGAAATGAAGAGCTGGATCTGGCAGATCTGTGGAGAAGAGCCAGGGCGGAAACTGATACAATCAAAAGTTGATCTTCATCACTTGCTATGGTGTCATCCCTATTGGAAAAGAGGAATGCTGATTCAATAACTTAAATACAAAATAGAAGACTATAAATAAGAACTTCTTAGTTATCATTTCATATGGATACATCCTTTACAAAGCTCACCCTTCTGACCTGTATAAATCTAAGAATGAAAGCAGCAAAAGCCTCAGAACTGTGGGAAAGTATCCCCTGCTTTAAAAACATCATTTGTTCCTAACAATTCACAAATATCTCATGATAGAACTTTGAGCAGACAAAGATGGCTTCTGCCCCAACCGGATCAACTTAGCATCACTGTCCCAAAGGGCATTCATGACCCCAGCAGACCGTGGAAAACTGCGATCCAGATGTGAGTTTGTACAATGAGTGCTTCACTCAAAGTTCCACCACTGCATTTGTCCTCAAACCCACACATTGATTCTGATTTTTGTGCTATTTCACACTGGATTTTCCTTTATTTTTTTCAGAATTTCTGGTAATATTTTCTGATATCCGTTGGATTTTATATTAAGACCAGCACCAATGTAATTGATTTGTTCACAGAGAAGAGGCAAAGCGTGATGATCACCCCATGAACTGATTATGTTACAATTGCCATTTCCCGTGCCAGAACACTATCTCCTCCAGCTCTGAATTCTTCTTTGGAACAGAAAATATTCAGCTTCTTAGGGGCAAAAAAATATTTCCCTGGATAGTACAGCAATGAGTGGGGCCCAGAATAAATATTCCTGACATAAAATTTTTTATTCATTTATTTTTTAGAAATAGGCAACTCCTGGGCTTTTATTCTAAGCAATTTATTTACGATCTTTGTTTTGATGGGACAGATGAACTAGTGAACATTCTCACCACATGATATAAAAATGTGTTTAACATTAGATGGTTGGACTGGATGTCCTGTAGTTCTTTTCCAACCTTGGGAGATCCAACCTTGGTGATTCTGTGGTTAGTATTGAGGGAGATGCAGGTGCACTGATCAATGAGTTTCACTCTTTTCCAAGCTTCTCCATAAAATTCATATATTTTTTCTTTTCAAAATAGTTCCTATTTCACATCATATCTATGAAGATATTACTACCTCATGTACTTAACATAGGAAAAGATTTTGAGGACTTAATCTGGAAAATTCATTGCTAAATCCAACATTTTCCAGAGGTCATATCTGTGCCTTCTAACTACAGGGAGAACAGAATCAGGCCCAACCCTAGTTTAACCTGCAGTCAGCCCATTACATACATAGAGAGGCAAAGAGGGACTCCCAGCTTTTCAAGAACATATATGCACAAATATTATTCATAGCCTCACAAATCTCCCATAGGATATAGGAAAAACAGAAGAATCTCCAAAGCGATGTTGTGATAAATTCTTACCTTTCCTAAATTTGATGAATTACAGCAAGATACAAAAGATTCTGTTCCGGCAAGGAAGGCTATGACTCTCCATTCTCTGCCTAATTCCAGTACTGCTGCAAGCCTTGCCATAGATAGATGAAGTACTTCTTCCATTTATCAACATGTAAATAGTGCAGTAAGTTCAGTACATTCCTAAAGAAGGAAGTGAAAAGAAAACTAAAGAAAAAAACAGTAAATCAGGGGAGAAGCAGAAGAGTTTTCTCTACTTTAGATCAACTACTGGCAAGAACCAGTAGATGGCAAGAACCAAGGGCAATTCTGAATAAGTTTTCCATCTGTGGGCTGCAGGGCACTTTCCCTCACCTTGTGAAGGTGAGTACCAGCCTTGGTAGGAACAGGGATTTCTGCAAAAGGATGGAAGACAGAGAGAAAGATGCAGTGATTTTTCAGCCATTATATTGCACTGTTCCACAAGTGCAATTCATTTATACATGAATTCAATGGCTTTTCAGATTTATTTTCCCACTGAGAATGGTTATGTTTTTTACTGTCCTTTTTTTAAGAGGCTTGTATCTCTACCTCCTGTTTTGTTTAGCGTTTGAAGGCAAGCTCTCATCATATATGTGCACCGCCTGATGTTTGATTTGTTTAATTTTCTGGGTTTTGGTTTTATAAGTATTCTGTGAATTGATAAGCTAGTACTAACCTCCTGCTGCAAGGTAGCTAACAACAATTTCTTGATTTAGTAAGAAACCATTTATAATTGCAAACACGTTTTCAAGTCTAAAAGTCAGTAGTATTCATTGGGATCAGAATTGACTGCTCAGCTGGCAATCCTGATACACTGCGAACCTGGCATTCTTGGGAGAAAGCCAGCCTGACACTAGACTTGTTAAACTCAGTAGCAATAGTACGGGTTAATGGTTTTGGCCAATGATCATAGCACTATCAAATCTGTCCTGAAAGGGATGAATGTTTAGGGGATGGTTATTTACTTTCCCATCAGGTGTTTCGAGCATCTGCTAATGCCCCTATTAACTCCTCATCTTAACTGGACAGCAGAGTGTGAAGTCGGGTTAGGCACTGGAAGTACCCATGCAGATCTCCTTCTGTTACTTTTATAAAATAAATTCGTTCCACGTTTTGAGACTGTGTTTTCTTTCAGACGCATGGGAAACTCTGCAAACGGAGGCAAATAAGTAGGAGAAAGGGCAAAAAAAATGGGAATGAAAATGATCTGATAAATATGGTGAAAATAAATGAATTGCCGAAACGATATTTTTTGCATTATTATCTTTCTCCATGGACACATCTGAGGCTGAAGTTCCGTGAAAAATAATAATAATAATAATAATAATAATAATTTCTTTGACCAAATTTTAGTTCCATTTAAAGAACTAGAGAGACCTTTGTGCGGAGGTGCTGCATCTGATGAAACTCCCATTGCTACGGATGTTCTCCTTATCAGAGTAGATTAAATTCGGAGCAGTAACCAAGTAAGCACGTGTCAGCACTGGAAACAGTAGAAATAACAACTAGAGGGAGGTTCCGATATGGACCATCAACTATTAAAAATAAACAAACAAAGAAATAAATAAATAAAGGGAGAAAAATAGGCACGCATGAGCCGTATTTCATGTCATTTGGAAATAGTTGAAATACTTCTCCAAATGCATTTTGCTAGGCAAATTCAGTGAATCTTTGTGGCTTTAACCAACTTAAACACTCAGAGCAGAAAAGAGAGGAGCGGAACCTGAGAGCTGAGCTTTGCACAAACCCGAGCTGCGCTGCGCATCTGGCAGCTCCCGTGCCCGTTTGCACCTCGCGTATCGACGTTTGTTTCTGTGCAATGGCCTCGATCGTGGGGTTTTTCCTTGTTTTTTTGGTTTGTATTTTTTCCTGGAGCAGGAGCACTCTGAGATGCTTGAGCCCGAATACACCGATACACCTTATACTTGACCCCTAACTCAAGACTAACCGAAAAGAAGGAGGGCAGGGCAACCAAGCAGCGCAGACGATTGCAACCAGGAGGAAATTTCACCCCGGGTTGCGAAGGAGCTGCTCCGGAGCTCTCGGCACAGGGGCTGCATTAGCACCGCTCTGCCCTACATGGCACCCGGCCACAGCCCCGCCCTGGAAAGGAATCTCCAGGGCTGCCCTGAGCCGGAGGGTTCCGCTGCACGGAGGCTCGGTGCGCACCCGCGCTAGCTGACCACTGAAATGAGCATGGAAGAAAAGTGGGGAAAGGAGGGAAAATCAGTGCTTATCAGGTCCAAATACCTCTTCCGCTCTCTCTCTCTCTGTCTTTTTTTTTTTTTTCCTCTCTCTCTCTTTTTAATCTTTTATATTTTTTTCCCTCTGGGAAATTCAACAAGTTACCCATTTTAGCACGCGCTTCTGATTTTCGCCGTACCACAATTACACGTTCAACCTTCATTTTTTAAACAAAATCCCGTTGATGCAGTCTAGGAAA